TAGAAATAATATATTACGGTCTAATAGGTAACATAACGAAGTGACGTCAATCAATTCGGTGTTGTCTTTGGTAGCAGTTTTATCAAGTTAATTTAATTTTGGAGTAATATACTTTTGTATTAGTATTTAACTTCCGTAGTAACTATAGCAACCCATTCGATCGTACGAGCGACGAACACCATATTATATGGTATAATATACCATATTATACCATATTTACTGTAGTAAGTGCCATCTTTTAGTAAAAAAATAAACTAGTAAGCACATAGAATTTTGGTTATGCACCGAATAAAATTAAGGCAAGATAAAAAAAATACCATTCTAAATGACGTATAGTAAATCGACTTTACTGTTAATGTACAATCAACTTTTTTTTATTGACCATTAACACTAAGTTAAACTTATTATGGATCTCGATGGAATTTTTTAGATATTCTATTTGAAAAGAGAAACTACGGAATTACATTATTTATACTCAGCTATGACTGAGACTTAGTGACATAGATTCGCTATGACGTCGCGTGTGTATTACTCTTGTGACGCCTTCTGGTGGATCTTTATTTATTTATTTTCTATAGGATGAACACTCCAATTTAGGACACCTTATACACGGACTATCTTACTAGGTATTTATTTATTATTTTTTTGTTTTTTAATGTCATCCTTATCATCAAGGTAGCTTATAAATCAACAAAAATAATTTGATACTAAGAATACTAAAAGTCCCAATAAAATCCCCCCCGTCAACGATGTGTAAAATTCTCGATAAGAAAAAAAAACTCAACTTAGAAAAGTTGTGATATCAAAAAAGGGCTAAGTAATTTCTTAAATTCATTGGCATAGAAATTGTTTATAATTGTTTGTATTTGATGAAGTGCGATAATTCAATGCAAATATTTTACTTAGTTGGCGGCTACTAATATTTACGACTACAAATAAAGATACAATGCCGTCATGAACATTTAAATCACCATTTTCTAATTTATTGATATCACCATAGTATTACTTTAGTATATATTATGAGTAGCCACGAAGCTAAGTTAAATTATTTGTACTAAATTATTGCACATAATCAAATAAAAATAATTTTAAACAATTTCTATACTATTAATGTATATATTATATATAATTATTACTATTATAACTATATTTAATGAATTTAAGAAATAACTTTGCCGCTTTTTGATATCACAACTTTTCTAACTTGAGTTTTTTTTTCTTAGTGAAATTTTTATACGTAGTTTACGGAGGGTTTTGGGATACACTTATTTTTTTATTAAAATTTTGGATATAGTTAACCTGTTTTTTTTTTTTTATTGAGTGAAAAATTACGGGGGCAAATTATCTTTGTTGTTTTATGGATCGAGTAAATGGATATTTGATGTAGGTAAAGCTATGAATATAGCTTATTATGAATGTTGCTGGATAATGATACTACAGTAATATAGCTATAAAATAAATAAACAATATTGTTTTTTATTCACCGCAAACGACCACTGTCGCAAACAAGTGGTAACAACGTGTACAACATAAACATTGTTGAATTGTTGAAAAAAAAAAATAGCGTTTCGAGTAAAAACTATGCTAATATTTTTACATACTACTCAGACTGTAATTATCCAATCAACTTGAAATTTACATAACATACTGATCAACCCGTGTAAATTTCAAAACAATCAGTTTATTCGTTTAGGCTACAGAGAGATCGGAACATTTGTTATAAAATTACACAGGTTAAATAGAAGATCTTTATTGTTCACTTATCTCTGCGCCGCGGTTGCGGCGCTGGATACCAATAACCCTGTGCCAGCCACTTTTGCAACGCCCACCTATCAGGTCTGATTATGAATCTAAACCATCCAAGAATCCATTCAAACACACACAAAAAATATCATCAAAACCAGTTCAGTCGTTTAGGAGGACTTCAGTGACACATACACGGACAGAAGAAATTATAAAGATAGAAATTGAATGGCTTGGTGCATAAACCAGATAAATTTAATTTTTTCGAAAATTAACGTTTTCATTGATTATTGTATAGAAAAAAATTACCTACATTTAAGTGCAACAACCATTTTAATCCGATATATATATATATATATATATATATTTAGTTTTTAATGAAATTAGATTTATCTTGTTTTGTTTTTGCTCAAAATATTGTGGTTACACCAAATGTGTTTATTCTTTTTGGGTATTATTAATAGAATTAAAAGATGTTAAAATATTTTTTTCTCTACATTTTCATTGTTAAAAAAAATGTATTTTTATTCATATTGAACAGTTTTAAAAAGTAGATTTATCTGGTTGTTGTACCAAGCCCTTTAATTACGCTTTCGGTCCGTTATTATTTATCCTTATCATTATTTTCTATTATCATTTTCAAAAAATTACCCTTTACCCGGAAAGTGTGCCAGTGTACGCAATACCATAGATAATAAAGGAATGGATAGGCTATGGGTATGAATAATGGAGACAGGACGCCGATCTGTACAAATTATGACGGTCTAAAAATAACGCAAATCGTTAGAATGCGCTTCGATCAGAAGTGATATCGGTGTTACATACAAAGCATAGGAAATTTATTGTTTTTTTAATTATTATAAACTAAATGGCAAAACTCACGAATAATTATTATAAAACGTTCTTCAAGACCAAATTGTCTTCGATTGAATAGACGTATTTCCAGATTTATACGACTATTAAGCTAATAAAGATATAATTGTTTTAAAACAGTTGATATTCATGTCATATTATGGTAAAATAATAACATATCCATTAAATATTTACTTTAATAATATTTGTTTGAGATTGTATCTGTTTTCTCGTTATCCCAGTTTCCTATGTTTTTTCCTGTTTTTTCACTATATTGAAAAAACTCATGAGCAAACAAAAAAATGATCTCCTTGAGTACCACCTAAGTCAGATTTCCTTTTATAAAAATTGTTACACTTGTAAATCGGAGTAATATCTCTGGTAAAAAAGTTCACAGATTAAAAAAAAATCAAATAAATATTATTGTAGAACTATAAGCTTCTTCACTTCACTTAGAATCTAAAAAATACGTTTGACTTTTATACACCTATAAATAATATAATATCAATGAATGCGTGTTGGTTGTCACAACTCACACTATCAAAATCACAAGACAAAGTATAATATTTGATAATTCGACGGTTCTCAAAATTCACATCGACTCATCAAGTATTAAAGTCACGATCACAGTAATCTATCTTTAGTAGAAGTGTAGTTTAGCTATCCTGTGATTTTTGCAATTTTTTATTTTCAAAACCTAGATAAACCTAGATAAATCAACGTTTTAAAAACAATGGTGCCAAAATAATTTTCCATGTATCATTAGTTTTCAAGTTATAGTGATTTGAAATCTAAATTCTAGTAAACCATTTGTTACTGAATTCTAGCGATTGGCGATATTTTTGGACCAATTTTTTTCGACTATATTCGGCGTCCTTTCTCTGTTCATGGTCATGGGGTATAATTTTTTGTCCTTGAATGATAAGAGAAACTGATTTAATTTTTTTTTTCTTTCCATGAATCAAATATTTTGAAATAATAGAATTTAAAACCATATTGATTTTATAACTTTATAAGTTGAAAACAAATTAAACTTATTTTAAACTGTAGACATTATGTCTGTTTTAAGCATAGGTAATAAAGGATAGGTCCGGATATTAAGGTAGGGAATTATAATAAATCTTAAGAAAAATTACTTTAGCTGTAGGAGTGGTTTGATAATTAGCCGCAATCGTATTTTGATGATAATAAATAAATACATAATTATGATGGATTTTGTATTCTTAGGTAGACCACAAACAGAAAGGAAACTGATTTCGTGAAACTAAATACAAAATGCATGAAATAAATTGTATGAAATTTGTTTTATAGTTGTCACATACCAATAAAACTAAAAATTAGTTTTAATAATTTCGTCTAACGGAGATAATGTATTAATGCTGTTGGCTACAGAAAAAAAAAAAAAAAAAGGAAACGATTTGCGATAGACGGCCTAGTAGTTATGTAATTGTAAAGTAACTAAATGCCGATGAAGATAAATTTCAATTTATCTATTTTCATTTGAAAATAGGTATCTTCTTAAATAAATGTTTTCCTTTATACACGATTATTAGTAATTAGCATAACACTTATTTGTTAATATAATAGTCATTAATATACCATTGCTGAGTATTAACGAGTCAATAATTTTAAAATTTAATTGATATTTACTAACTTAATTTATTTTAGATTCTGAGAAAATATTGGTTTCATTATGTTTTTTTTTTCTCTAAATAATTTTTTTTTATCAGAAACCTTCCTGCAATCAAAAACTTTATAGGAACTTTCTTCTAACTTTTTTTTATTTAGTCGGTATATTGAGAGAGCTCAAATTGTATTTTTAGTTTTTTTAATAAATGGTAAACACTGACAATTTTGTATCAAAAAATATCAATGTTTTTACAGTTTTAGTTGATTTCTGGGTTAACTTGGGAACAAGTGAAAAATACTACTAATCATTAATAATACTTAGTTCAGAATCGTTTTTCGTTATCAACGGTTTATTATGTACAGATATGAATTAAATAACTCGATTTATCTCTCCTTTATCTTTCATAAAAAAGTGGCACACCCATCAACCGTATAAGCTTGTTTTTTGTTTATATTTACTTAATCAATAACGAGTACATTTTTAATAATACCACGTTAAGATATTGATTTCGAATTCTTTTAATTTAAACACAGTTTTAAATCTTAAAACTATTTGAACAGGTACCTTTTTATAAAAAAATTATACTTACAAAAAACTATAAACTTTTTAAATTTAACCGTTTTTACAGCGTCACTAATAATTTTACGAAAAAAAAAAAAATTTTCAAAGGAAACTTAAATTAACAACAGAGAATTGAACTAATTTAACTAATTACCTAAAATTAACAAAAAAGTAAATTAAAAACGAGTCGTTGACTTTTTTTAAATTAAATTAACCGAGTTATAATATGATATATTATTTATTATTTTGAATATATTATTCATTAACTCTTCCAACCAGCAGCCTTGCAATATACTCTGCTAATATAATATAGTCTGGATATCATTGTCAAAACGTCGATTTTGTAATAAATTGAGAGTGAAATTATACACGAAAGTGACAAAAATGAAATATTAGTGTACATACTCCTCATTATTGCATATGTAATGTTTTTAATGTATATCAAAGCCGTTATATTTTTAAGTAAATATGCGACTAATTGCGGGTACAATAACGATAATAAAAAATATAGTAAACGAAACGTTATTTTTATTAAAATTATTTCTTTTTAATAATATAATTACTGTACATACATATATTATAACTGATAGGTAATAATATCATACAAATATTGAGCGAATAATATAATAACGTGTTACAAATGTTTAAATTCTACAAAAACAAAAAAAAAAGTATAATGTCAGCTGCTTTCGTTCTACGCGAATTCACAACGTAATCGAATCTGTTCGCGTCGTCACGTAGAAGTCGTTTATACATAGACCGCCCACAAAACAATGTCCGAGTTTTGAAGAGCTGTACATTAATAAAAAAAAAAAAAAAACGGCAAAAGAAACTCCAATTCACCACCAACCAAAATGTATAGTCATATCCGGTGTGACCAATGACCAAATTCACGACTGTGCCGATTGATTTTTTTTATTGAACATTTTTTAAACGATATATCTCGGTTATACTGAATCGTACACTTCGCCCTCCACCAAACCAAAGAGCAAAAAAAAAAAAAAACGCAATTTGTTAAGTCAGGTGACCTCGTGAAATATACTGATATCTCTTTGAATTATTAGTTAGCAATGATATAGTAATGATTATTAGAGTAATATAGAGGTGGCGTCTTGTATATTAACGACTTATACCGGAGGCAATAGCGTTGGTTCAATTTTATTTCAAAACGACCACCACCTCTATAACATTATTTTATGATAAATATCCGAAAATGTTTTCCGTTTTATTCCCGACGTAGAGTCGTCCGTTCGTCATATGGAAATTTAGTGCACATTATGTCGGTATTATCTTATGAAATGAGACGGCGTAATGAAGTTTAGGGGTAATAGGTACCGCGACACTGTACAGATCTTCAAATTCCGGACGCGTTCCTTGTTTACGTAAATATTAGTGAGTAAGGAAGCTCGAAAATCGAGTCCGTATGACGATAAGTTTAAACCGTTACACATACTTGCGGCCGAATTCGCGTTAAGATGAATAATTCAAATTTTCTAAAAATATACATATTTATATTTTATATCATAATATTTATTATCACTATATTTTATATGAAAATTTGATTGAATGCCTGCAGTTATAATCGTTAACCTATATATACACAATTTACAAACTAAAAAAAAAAATATATCTATACCTTTAATATACATATATATCTAATATTATATTTTTTGTGTTGAATTCAAAATGTAATTTACAAAAGCATCGTGTACAGTACATTCATATAATTATGTTTACTGCATACCTATAATTATAGTAAACATGTTTTTGCATTAACAATATTAACTTAATCGAAATAGTTTTTTTTTTTTTTATTAGTAAAACCATTGATTTTGGTGTTATTATAAAATCATTGGTAAAATTTATGGACTAAATATAATAATAGGTATATAAAGGTATCTATTGTCATATAATCTTGTCGTTCTATAGTAAAAAATATCAAACGCGAAAAACTAAAATATCGACATTATGTTTGCTCGTTACAATCGATGTGGAACTCCTCTGGAACGTATGATTGTAGTGATTTAATATTGTACGAAAACCGATTGTACACGCTGTCGAGTAACAGCTGTCGTTTCGGATTCACTGTTAAAAATATACTTATACATTATACAATATATATTATGTAACATTTTTGTCTAGTACAATTTGTTCCGACATTTTGTAAACCCGACATAATATTATTCGATCGTTTCGTGTATGACGTGAGGGGAGAATAACAAGACGACAAAAGTAATAATAATAATAATACAAAAAAACCAACAAATAATAACCAAAACAATAATCTAAGTACGATTATAGAGGTTTCTTCGTATATATGGTATCAAAGCGTTTAACGTTAAGGCACATCGTTTTTCTGGAATATAATTATTAAAACGAAATCTCGCCCGTTGCAGGCGGACAAATATTGCCGCGTCGTATTAACAATCAGCATGGATAAACACCAGCCATTGGACATGTACAACAGAATAATGGTGCGATCGATTGAGTCATCCGATTTAAAATATTAAAACACCTACCTATAACAATATTGTCAGCCTGCACGTGTTTTGCAATACATAAGTTACCGATAATATACTCGTATGTAATTTTCCGATATAAAAACCGTTTAAGCGGTAAATTTTTTTTCGTGAAAACATATAATCGTCGATTTCGTTAATAATATTTAACATAATATATTAAGAATACGCGGTTTCATTATTCGGCTTGTAACCGCGACAATGTGTATCGATCTCCTTAACTCACTCTACTACTCCCCTTCCCTCCCCTCCGTCGTATATAAGCGATCGCGTACATTAACAACAATATAGTCGGTATCTTATACCGCGATGGTAACATAACATATCGAACCGGTCGAATCGTTAACAGGTGTTTTTAACCGATAGGCTGGGCCCGGGAGTCAGTCGGTGGCCAACGACTGTGGTCGACGACTGCGGGTCGGGCGTGATGAACGTCGTCATGCTGATGGTCACGGAGCTGCTGGTTGTCGGCCTAGACGACATCGGCAACTCTGCACCGGGACGGTGTCCGGTGTAAAACTCCTGTCAGTCCGGGTCGTAACGGCAGTCCAACCAAGCGATCGCACCCACCGCGAACAGGATCAGTGACGTTAACGTCAGATGGACTACGGCCATCCAAAACATGGTCGGGTTGGGGCTGCGAAAAAAAAAATCGAACTCAAAACGTTTATAAAAAAACAAACTACTACATTACGCTTGACTTGTTTTTTTTTTTTTTTATTACTAATCTTAATCACTTATGATGATTTCTGCTTGACCGATATAATTTTGTGAAAACAATAGGTTTTCACGATTATTTCAAACCAAATTACAAAAAAAAAAAAAAAAAAAATCGAAATCAAAAATGTCAACGTTACTTTGAGTAAATTCGTACATATATTATAAATATTAAAATGCACACATAATACCAGAAAAGTATAGGAATAATTTTTCAGCCATTACGTATAACCGTTTAATGATAAATTTTATTTTAAAACGGCCACCTCTATAACATTATTTTATGATAAAAATCCGAAAATGTTTTCCGTTTTTTTCCCGATACAGAGTCGTCAGTTCGTCATATGGAAATATAGTGTACCTATATTATGTCAGTAATCGTATAAAATTAGACAGCGTAATGACGTTTAGGGGTAATAGATACCGCGACACTGTACAGATCTACAAATTCCGGACGCGTTCTTTGTGTACGTAAATATTAGTGAGGAAGGAAGCTCGAAGATCGAATTCGTATCCGACGATAAGTTTAAGCCGTTACACTTACTTGCGGCCGAATTCGCGTTAAGATGAATAATTCAAATTTTCTAAAAATATAGATATTTATATTTTATATCATAATATTTATTATCACTATATCGTATATACAAATTTGATTAAATGCCTGCAGTTATATCAGTTTTAATCGAAAAGTATAGGAATAATTGTTCAGTCATTACACATAACCGTTTAATAATCCCATTCCCAAAATGTATAGTATAATTTCATTATCATATTATGATACGTAAATCAACTTTTAATTTTCATACGAGTTTCGATTCGAAAAAATGAAAATTTTTCTAAATATTTTTATTACTACGGTAATATTGATTACCTACCTTAGTTATGAGTAAAATTATAATAATAGTTTAAAATTTAGTCCAGAAGAGTACTGAAGCGTATTTTTTTTTAAAAAAATAACCCTTTTCTACTGATCCGGTTTAAATTTTGAAAATACCTTCCAATCAGGGTTAGGATTTTATAGCATTTACATATTAATTATAAAATACTTAAGAAATAGCAAAATATGATTAAAATTTGTTTTATGATTCAGAGAATTGAAATTAAAAATTAAATTTTGCATATTTTCCGATTTTTTAGATTTCAGTCCTATTCTTGGACTTTTTGAAATAATTTCGCATTTTGACACACTTTCTTTTTTATCAATATTGGAAATTTTTATGAAATAATATTTTGATAAATATTATTTGATTACTGCCTAATTTTAAAAGTAAATAGAACAAATACACGGACGCGTTTATCGTTTTATATTATTTGGTTTTAGTTTTAAACTTTTATTATCTGCTGATTTTGATTGGTTCTTCTTTTTTGTAATTTATTGTTGTGATTATCATCCAATGTTGAAAGCGTTGCATACTGGATTGGTACAGCCGACTCGTATACGCGTACTATAGAAACTAGTGTTTTCAGTTGAACGTGTTGTGGTTATCCTTTTCCGAGGCTTAACTTGTAATTAACTTTGTTTTAAATTTCCATAAATTTTGTTGGTTTTATTGCATATTTTAGCGATTTTAAAGGTAATATTATTGTAGCGCATATTTATATAGTTTTATGTTCTATATAATCCCAATATACATATGTTTGATATTTATTTGTGTCTTTTTTTTAAGGAAAAATAGAAATAGTTGTTAATTACATCTATAGCCGTAGTTAACAAATAACTATAAACTACTGTCATAGTTCGTCATATCAATAATCAGTATTCTCTGATATCATAATTTTTTTAAAATACGAATATTGTGATGAAATTTACAGTTATATAGTATGGCCCATATTGTAAAATAATTTATCTTTTATCATTTTACTATACATACATATATTTGTAACAAATACTCAAAGTCAAAGAGGCGGGGGAAGTGTGTTGTTACGCCTAAAATATCCCCCACCCCTATATACGATTCTGATAGAGTTTAAATATAATATGTAGATTTATTGTTTTGTAAAATTACAAAAACAAATCAATATTTAAGCACGTAAATAATTTCCATATAATATATAGTTACTACTATTTGACTACTGATATTATCAGTATTTTGAATTACAAATTAAGTTAATTTATTATGTATATAGTGATAAGGATAACCAATAGTATAGTTGAGTAATAATATTATTATTACTATCAAAAGAAGGTTAATAATGCATACAGAGTACCAATTTGGGAAAACGTACCTACTAACATTTACCTTAATATGCATAATATTGTAATAATCATTTTCGTTATATGTACGGATATAATATTATAGTTTTAGATGGTTCATTAGCATAAAAAA